TGGAGCGAGCACTCAGCTGCACATATATCCCACAGAGCTGGGTCGTGTCTCCTGAGCCTCAATAATGCACAATCCATACCCGGAGATAAAAGTCTAGACAATAGACGACTGTTTATGACAACGAAGCTCTCCAAGTTTGGGGCCAGGCGATAAATCTCTGGTGAATCTTCCTGTAACTGAACTTCTAGCTGTAGTGACGAGAGAACCACCGAGACCACAGAGAGGAAAGCAGAAAAATGAGCGAGACTTTTAAATTGTGAGCCGAAGGCGACTTCCCTGCTGGATCCAGGCGGCCACACTCGCCCCACGTGGTGTGTCCACACTGTGGAAGCTTTCACATCAAGCTTGAGAACACAGGCGAGTCAGGCTTCCCGTCTCCCGGAAATGGGGCGAAATGTGCAGGCAGATGGCAGGGCCTGGAGGCTGGGACAGACAGACCTGCAAACCATCCTTGCTGCAGGCGAAGGGTCTTTTTTTGTTGATGACCAGAATCTTCTTGCTATGTGTCACCTGAAAATTTTCACTCCATGGGTGTCTCTCTCTCTCTTTCTTCTCTCCCTCCGCTTTTCCTTTGTGGATTGATAGGCTGTTCCCTTTTGCATTTTCTACCCAGGCGTCTGATTACAAGTAAAGAGCCACTGAAGTTGATCTCATAAAAATGCGGCAAACTCACTTTGATCTGCGCAGACTGGGTCCGAGCCTAAGTAGGCGCTAAAGCCGGGGAATGACGTCCAGGCCAACCTGGCCTCAGCTCCGCAGGAAACTGGGAGATCTGGGTGGCCCAGCAAGGCAATTCTGCCCAGAAAAAAACATTTTCTTTGCTGCTGCAACTGGGTTTGGAAACCAAGGTCCAAAGGTAGCGGCTCTATTTCCAGACTGCTTTTAAGACATTTCCTTCATTTTAGAGCATTTGGTGAAGGGGAACAGTGAAACCAGCTCATAAAATGGGACTTTTATAGGGAGAAATGGGGTCTTGTTGCTAGCCTCCTGGGACAGTCTTTCTGCTGAGGAAGGTAGGTGGGGCTGTCGGGGGCGGAGGAGCTGCCCTTCTCCCTACCCCTGTCCATTCCAGGGGCCCACGGATCCTCCGAGCAGCATCCGTCTTCTTAGGTGGCCTGATTTGGGGCTTTGGGTTTGGGGCAATGGTCAGGGCTGAGGATAGGTGGAGACCGAGAACGGACAGTTCTCTCCCCTTCTAGTTCTCGAGCTGGGGGTGAGAAGTGTCCCATGGGTACAGGATAAACCACTGGACTAAAAATCCCCAAGCACAGTAAAGGGATTGTTAAATGTAATGGTATTGCTCTAAGAAACAAATATGTGCAGAAAGATGCAAGCCAATTTCTAATGAGGGCACATCTTTGCTTGCCCAGCCAGCCTCCGAATGCTGAGGATGTCCATGCACTTATTTTTTAAAACTCAGATAAAAAGCCCTTTTAAGGGAAAACTTCTCTTTTGAAACTACTGTAGGCTAAAAGTAAAAAAGTATGTATCCTGGAGTAGAAAAGAAAAGAACGTTTTCTCCCCAGATATCTGCAGGCTCTGCCTCTGTCTCCAGTGAAGTTCCAGAAGAACTTCCGTTAGACTTGGAAGTACAATTTTCTTGGTGAAACCTAAAGCCTTTTCTCTATAAAGAGGCACGAAAAGAGGAATTCCCTACCACAATCTACTGTAGAGCCCAGAGCAGCAGGAGAAGGTGGTCAAGCTGCAAAACAACCATAGCTGTGTGGGGGATGCTGCGCTGGGGTCTCCCAGGCTGGAATTTGGGAGATACTGCCCTCTTCTGAAGCCATTTCTGGTATCCACGTGTGGAAGAGAAGCGTTCTGGAGTCTGTCCGTGGCCCTGGCCAGAGTACCACAGCAGCTGCCCAGACCACAGCTGCCTGCTAGAAGCCAGGCAAGCAGGCGGTGCTTACTGAGGCCACCAAGAGCTGTGGAGCAGGCAGGATGTCTCTGTCGAGGAAGAGTGTTTCAGGTGAAAGCTGGGACTTCAGGATAGTGACGGGGCCACAGGCACCCATGAGATGAGGGGGCAGAAAGCTACCTCCATCCCAGCAAGTAGGGCTCGCCAGACTTTTGGGAACTGGTTTAGGGCCACAAATAGGTCTCATTTTGGGGGAGGCACTGGGGTACAGTCTGGGGCAAGCAGCTCAGTCTATGCTTCAGAGGGGCCTGGACCTAGAGCCAGGTAGGGAGGCGGGCAGCCCACAACATGGGCATTTTTGCCAGTCAATGCCTCACCAACCCCATCAGTCTGGGTCTTCTCTTCTCAACCCCAGCAGCAACCTCCAGTTGCTGACATGTTTTAAAGTTGTTGAAAAATTACTAGTCAGACCAAAATGAGGGGAAAAAATGGAACTTGGTGTCTTACTTTTAAAGGGAATAACATTAGTTCTCAGAACCTCTGTTGGGAGACCCTAGAGTTTCCTGGACATCAATTCCTTGGACATTCTTTCTTGCCTTTCTTTTTTGTTTCAAGAAAATGGAGCCGCCAGCAGCTCCTTGCAGCAGCTGCCTGGCTCACTTTTATGGTGGCCCTGGAATAAACTTTGGTGGTCAAATTCAAGTGCTCAGGCCCACAGCTGTCTGCTCACAGGAAGCACACCCCCTCCCCACTGTGCAGAATTTACTTTGGGGGCTTGGGCCCCACATTGCCCTGGAGGCCAGGATGGGGAAGGAAGCAAGGCCCTGGGGGAAAGTGGGGAAAGCCAGACCTGAGATTCTGAGCCCTCATCCACACTTCTGCAAGGGATAGTGGTACCTCATCCACACCTCTTGTAGGTTCCTATCTCTGTTTGGGGAGCATTTGCCTCCTATAAACTCAAGTTTAATGAGGTCAGTATGAACCCCATAAAAACCATAGTCCATAGTTCTCCATTATTATAATTAAAAACGCTGGCCCCAGTTCACTCTATAAAAAAAAAAGTAGAGGAAAGAGAAAAAGCAACAGATTTTTCTTTTGCAGCTCCTAGCCCCTTACCGACGGAGCAGTCCCACACTTTAACAAAGCCCCAGCCTAGTTCCTCTTTGCCCTCAGTTAGGATCTAGTCAGGTCGAAAGAAGGGCTTGGGAAGCAGCACTCAGCGATGGATGAATGAGGAGAGGGGTGCTAGAGGCCTATCCTTGGGTATTACAGAGCCACCCCAAGAATGGGATCCATGGCAGAGGCAGCTTCACTCCAGGTATTGCTCTAAAGATAGATCAAATTTGGGGAGGCAGGAAGGTTAAGAAGGAGTGGATTTAGAAGGCTGTACCTGGGGATGAGGCACCATTTTTTGTGTCTTCCACATTTGGTTTTGGGGCTTCAGTACCTCATCATTGGTCTGCAAAGATAATCAAATCCAAATTTTAACCATGAGTTAGGGTGTAAAGAAGATTTGGGTCATGTCTGGCTTTCCCTGAGAGCACTATGGGCTGAGTCCTTGGGGGCTTCAGTTCCTCCCCTCCTACTTGAACAAATCGTGCCCTGGCAGCTCCTCCTTGGATCCAAGGTTGCTCTACTTATGGCAGTTGCTCTGGCCCCTGGCCCCTTGGGCCCAGTCCAGAACCTTTCAATAAAGTAATTTTTAGCTGTCCAAATGTGTCTTGTGTTGTCCAGAGGGATGGCCAAGGGAGAGCAGAACCACTGAGTCCACCTTTTGGGCCACAGCCATCCAGAAGGCTGGCAGATGTGGAGGAAGGCAGGGTAAGGCTGAGGAAGAGGAAGGAGGCACCAAGGCCTGGCTGTAGCACCCAGGAGCAGGGCTGGGAGTGGCCCCTGGCCCTGCCCTGCCAACCCAGGTTACTCAGCTCCCTTCCATCGCCTTGCTGGTCTGTTCTGGAGACCTATGCTTGGCCCCGCCACCCACCCTAAAACGCCCAAATCATTTAAAGATAGAAGACTCAAACCTATCCCCTCTGCCACTATATCCTTCCTGGACCCTGACACCAGGCTTCTTTTTAACCTCCAAACTGAGGCTGAGCCCCCAACCCAAGAGAAGATATATGGCTCTCATTCCAACCTTTTTCTTTGGGGTTTGAGATTTAAAAATCCACAGTGGCTGTAGCTTTCTGTGCATTGATTGACAATAAAGGCAGGCATGAAATATTCACCCAGGGCCACTCTCTCATACTAAATATTTAACACAACATTAGAGAAGGTTTTTCCCAGACTTCACCAGGCACCGGCTGGGCGGCTGGCGCACTGCTTACCACTCATTTATGACTAATCTGAGTCCCTAGCCGCCAGCAGCACAGCAAGCCAGACGAAGTTGGGACACGGACTTGCTACTGGGCTGCCTCACCTTTCGGAAACTTCAGATACTCTTCTGAGGAGTCTCTCCTAAGGGGAAAGGGAGTCTTGACACCCAGCCCTGTCCTCCCCAAAAAAGAATCGACTTCTTCAAACTCTTCCAAATAGGCACTGGCCCCTCTGCGGGATGGCCGGGTAAGAGCCCTTGAGAGTTGGGAGGAAGGATTCACATCTCTGGAGGAATCTCGCAGTGGGGAAAGAGGTCCTCATCCCCACCCTAGCCCCTGGCTGATCATGAGGAGGAGGCCAGACCCCCGCATACGTGAGAGCACTCCTCCTTCATCCAATCCTGGGGAAAAAGAGAGCAGCAGCTAGAAAAAAATACAATTACCCCCTC